CGCGCCACAGGCGCCTGCGCTATCACAACAGTTTTGCGCGGGCGCCCGTAGCGCAGGCTACAGGCTCACTCGCAACGAACTAATGTGATATTCATGTTCTACGGGTCGAAGTACCTCTGAACGACAAGCTTCCAGCAAATTTGGCCCATTTGGCGCCAGGACCTCTGGCGCGGCGTTTTTGCGCTGAACATATGTGGATATTCGGTTCTTACGGGTCAAATTCACCACTTGGAGTGCAACATTCTAGCCAGATTCACAGTCATGGAAAAATTCGGATAAAACCGGCTCAGTTTTCGACGAGTGGGGCAGCAAGGTTAAGGGAATCGTTAGGCCGATGTCAGACTTTGCGAATCGCGCGATTCGCTAGCGTCTGCGGTCGCGTCGCGGCCAGTGAATCACTCAATTGGCTGGTACCGCAACGCGACCGCGGACGCTAGCGAATCGCGCGATTCGCAAAGTCTGACATCGGCCTTAGCAGATCTGGATAGCAGTTGTGAACTCATTGTCTCAGGGCCAATGTAACGGGCCTAGTCGGGTTGACCTGTGTTGGGTTAACCACACCTTCCACTCCAGCCTCCGCGGTTTCATCGACGCTGCTTGGTGTAGGTGCCTTTCGTTTGACGACATACACAAAACGAAACACTTATTTATTAAATTAAACTTGCAGATAACACTAGAGATCTTTAACCCTAAAAATTGGCAGTTCCCACCTCAACGTCAATTTTAAAATAAAGAATCATAAGTAATTCACAATTAGATCACACAACATTGGTAGTAGCAGAGAACAACACTATAGGAGAGTACGACAACACGAGATTAGTAACCATGAGTTCAGAATATCACACTACAAATCGAATATTTCCTTAAAACACATCCGAAAATTGTGAGGGCCATGCAAGAAACAATAAAACGCTAGTAGTCTGTGTGACTGCCCAGACCAAAATGGCGAGAACATATACCGAGGAGAAAGGAGGTGGCAAGTAAGCGGGTTGTGATTGGGAAGAACAACGGCCAAATTAAAATGCAGTTAGGATATCAAAACTTGCAAAGATTTTGCTTTCAGGGGGTTAGCTCGCCACTGTGAGATACAAGCAATCACGAACAGTGCTAATGCAGTGAAGTAAAACAAGGAGATTTGTAACTTGCAAAGCACCATTAGCGTTGGGCATCCAGCCGCAGCAGGGTCAACCGTCCGCGTTCGCACTATTCGAACGAGGGGGTCGCATTTGCGATTTTCAGAAGAAGTGTCGCATTTCTGGGGTCGAACTAGGTCGACTGCTTCTGGGAAAAGTGTGAGCAGGGGTCGTAAGAAGTGGTTGTATTTGACTGGTTTTGTTGGGAAAAGTTCATGAAAGTAGAGTAGACAAAATCAGTGGATTTGTCGCTTCAGAATACCAATTCATACCCCCTACTCGACGTCGGTTTTGGAGGTAAAAAGTGTGTGGTGGACGGAGGTTGAAT